ACTATCCTTGATATTATACACCTGATTGGCCTTCCTACTTATGGCCTGGACATCAATGCCATTTTGCAAACCCCTGAGGTTAAGCATGATGTCAAAGTAGGCAATTATGGCAAATTCATTTCGGATCACTCAAAGAAAACTAGCATTCCTTCAGTTACTGAGAAAATTGCTTTTTATTTGTGTTGGTTGTGCCAATTTCTTTTTTGTGTAGGTGGCCTTAGAATTACCAAGGAATACCTCACTCTTGCCCTCCTAATCCAAGAGGGCAAACAACTGGTTTTTGCCCGTTTTCTCTTGGCCACCATGTACAAAGGTCTTTTTTCTCTCCATGACAAAAGAATAAGTCATAGTATGGAGGGCCCTTTTTGGCTTCCCCAAGCCTGACTTCTTGCTTATCTTCCAGAGATCAGATCAGATAGGAGAATAGATTATACACCCATGTGTGAAACCTATGCTGAGTTCTTTCTTTCCCATCGTCCTTCTCCTACTGTTACTTTTGCCCAGTACTTCTCTACTCTTTTGAACCTTTCCATCGACAGGATTCCTTCCCTTCCTTTTCAATCCTTCCTCTTTTCTTTTGCCTCTTTATCTTACATATATGTTGATCCTACCACTTTGAATGATGACCTTAGGCAAGCTCAAAAGACAGTCTGGAGCATTTGCCTCACCCCTAGGTACATCTTAGTTGGAGGCTCCCATTCTAATAATAGGCACTCTACCTGTGGTTTTGAGAGTTACAACCCTAGTCAATGGGCCAGGCAATTTGGCCTTATCCAAGGCATTCCTCTCCCTTATGTCCCACCTACTATTCATGAGTATGTGAATGCCAGGGTCCAAATCACTAAACAACCTTCTGCTTATGCCATTTTGGCAAAAAACCAAAAGCTTTTGCATAAGCCTAGTTTCTTTGCTTTTGTTGTTAATGCGAGTATGAGCAACAGGTTTAAGGACTGGTGGACTATTCTTAGTGCAGTCATATTCCACCAACAATCTTGTTTCCAATTTAATAGCTTCCATTGCATAAATGTGTAAGGAATATAATGCCACATCATTAACATCATCATCAAATCTCTAATATTTGTATTCATTATACTCTAGAGATTTACAAAATTATTACCACATGCAATTATGCATTCAACATTCCCAGAATATGAATCTACAGCATGTGGCACAAGTAGTCAAATACAATTCAATGTTCTCAAGGGCTACAAGTTCCAAGGCTTATACCCGGTTACACAAAATGGTTGTCAAACTCATACATGTAAAGCCCTTGACTTGTTAACAATTTTTACAACAAAAGTAAAGAGCCTTGTGCCCTGAAAATACATTCTACGCCTTTAACTCGGTGGGATCACCACATCTTTTCATGCACAAAATCCCATAAGGTGAGCACAAAACCCAGTAGGAAGATCTTAACAAAATATATACATTTTATATAGTCTCCTGAGATGAATGCATATGGCATGTCATGCTCAAAAAACATATCTCTATCTTTTGAAATTCTTATGCATAATGCAATTCGCACGAGAGGTTCAAATTCCGCTCTAGCGGAATCCCAAATTCGCATGAGCGGATTCTGTGCCTCCACGGGCGGTTTGCTCCAAAGAAAACCCATAATTTTTCACAAAAATCCGCTCGAGCGGGATCTAAAATCCGCAAGAGCGATTTCTACCTAGAAAACCCCTATGTGATTCCACTTGAGCGGTTGCTAAATTTGTAACGCCCCAATTTTCATGCCCAAATGGTAATACAATAGTCATGGCTCTTTAAAGTAAAACTGATAATAAATCCTTATACTTGCATTACATGATGTAAATAGTCTTCATGCAATAATACAATTAATCCAACAACAATTAATTAAACAACAAATATCCCCTAGGGTTTACAAGTTTCCAAGGCTTGAGCCTGGTTACACAAAACATTTATTCAACCCCACACATACAAAGCCCTTAGCTTGCAATTAGAGTCACAACAAATGAGCACATTATGCTCTCTGTACACACTTCTACGCCTTCAGTTAGGCGGAATCACCACATCTTTCCTGCACAAAAATCCCGTAGGGTGAGCATAAAGCCCAGTAGAGAATTCTTAACAAAGTATATACATTTTACACGAGTCTCAAAAGATGGAATGCTTATTCCATGCCATGCCATGCCTTTTTGAAAGTAAAACACACCATCATTTGAAAATCAACATGCTCAGTGATGTCATGTCATTTCAACTGCTCAACATTTATCAAACTTTATTCGAGGGGCGGTAAATACAACTCTGGTAATCCCTAGGTCAGTGTCTGCAAGTAGACTATACAAGTACTACCAATTTGTCATTTTTACCAGTATCAACTGGAGGGCTCGACACCCATAATCTGTCATTCTTACCAATATTGACTGGAAGGCTCGACACCTATTCTCTATACTACCTTTCAAGACTTACCACTATATTTACCCCAAAACCATTTCATGAAAACTTGTTTCCCAACATTCTTTTCTCAATGCAAGTTTTCAAATCAACTTTCAAAGTTCAATATAATCAAATGAATTGATATGCCAATGCAACAATAATCAATACATTACAACAATTCTTCCATTTCCAATTCTTCCACACAATACTACCATTGTTATCAAAATTCTCATTACTCCTTTCAATGTAATTTCACAATATGAATAAATACTTTTATTTCAATTCATCCAAGGGATAACATAATTCCCACATTTCAAACATTTCCAACAACTTAGTCATTTCAAGACTATATCAATACTTTTAAATAATAATTTCCAAAACTTCAACAATTATCTTATTCCATGGAAAACCATCATTTATATGTAATAAATAAACAATTTTCAACCATCATTTATTTTGGCACACAAAATAAATAGAACAACATATTCTAAAGATTTTCAACATCTTTCTTAAAAACCCCCTAATTTCTAGGTTTTCTTACCAAAAACCATTCATCTTCAAGTATTTGAGAAGATCTCATCAAAACATCTTTCTTTCATCAACATGGTTCAAAACCCCCAATTTCTATCTCAAAGGATCAATTAGTAAACCCACTTTCAAAATCACTCCTTTTCTTGAGTCAACAATTAATTTTCAAAACTAAACAAAGGATGATTTCGAAAATTATCTTGATCTTGCAAAAACATATATATAACTCAAAGAAAATCCCTACTTCAAGTTTGACGAAGAAATGAGTTGGAAATCCCAAAATCAACGACGATGAAACTCGATCTCCACCGCACACAACGTAGCCCTCGCCTAGATAACCAACTTTGATGAAGAACTTGGATCTAAATCCCAATGGATTTGGAGAAATCAAAGATCTTGTGAGGTTTTTGGTAATGTAGAGAGAAGGGAGAGGAAATGTCTTTTAGAGAGAGAAATACACAAAAGTGACACTCAATCAGCCCAAAAGAGGAGAAAAGAGAAAAAAAATTCAGATCCACCTACCTCCCGCATGTGCAGAGCCTATTCCCGCACGTGTGGCCCTCCTCCCCCCGCACCTCAGCCGCACCTGCTTATTAAGCAGTGTGCTGCACACCTCACCCCTGAAATCCGCACGTACAGCCCTGGTCCTCAGCCCGGGAATATCTCTACTCAACTCCCGATCCTCCGAGCTTGACCTCGCACACTCCAAGACGTGTGAAACTTGACATGGAAGCAAACAAGGACTAACCTTTTGAGAACAACTTTTAAACATAACAAACTCCAATGAACAATAATGCCCCAAGTGGAACTCGTCACCCTAACAAGGTAACCAAAAGGTAAACAAAAGGAACAAGAAACGCACAACGAAACTGGTCGTCACAAAATCCGCACGAGCAGTTTTGCCAGCCAAATCCAAAAATTGATTTCGCATCCCAAAACAAGTTCCAACGTTTAAAACTCAAAATTATAACCCGGAAATGTTAAAAGAGATTAATTAATAAAAGAAAAGAAATCTCAGCGACCTAATATGATAATGAAAACGCCGAAAGTAAAATAAACTATCTTACTACACAATACCGATCAAGTCCAAGACCTGGGACATCCCAATAGTACTTGTCCTGTCTTTTGCCTTCCCATCGACAAAGTTAAATTTGTAAGTCACTCATGTTTTCTCTGATCTTTTTTTTTTTTTTCCTTGTTTATAGGAAATTTCTTTTTATTCATGCTCACAGTTTTTTTTTTTCTTTTTATTTCTTAATCAGCTGATACTCCAGGAGAGCTTGGTGCTGCTAATATCCCTTACCCACTGCCTCATTTGCTAGCTCAGACCTCTGGTAAAGCCAAGGACAAGACTCCCAAGGTCTATGCCAAGAAGCCTAAAAGGAGGAATCCCTTGAATGACTCCTTCATGGCTTCCTCTTTCAAAGCCTATGATTTAGACTCTGAGGAGGAAAACCAACCAAATTCCTTCTCATTCCAAGGCACCAACTACCTCACAGAAGGCTAGCAAAACTGGCCCAGGCACAGGGGCTGGCCAAGGTCCTGATGTGGGTGACCTCACCCTTGAAGAACATAGAATTGAATAAATACAGCAATCGACAAAAAGAAGAGAAATGAGGGGTTGGAAAAGCTACTACACTACAACAAAACTGACTTTTTACAGCACCACATCAACGACATACAATAAATGTACGCCGTAGTTTCTCACTTTTACGACTTGCTTTTTTTGCACGTCGTAAATACTTTTCCAACCACGACGTGTCTATTGTGTAGGCCGTGAATGATAATAACAATGATTTTTTTACGACTTGCAATGCATGTCGTAAATAATAAAAGTTTCTACGACGTGCATATGGTGTGCCGTTAATACATTAATTACACACGACGCACATAGGCCAACCGTAAAAAGTATTACACTTTTCACGGCGCACAAAAAGTCAACTGTTAAAAATATTAAACTTTTTACGATGCATAATCTAAGTCGTTAATAAAAAGATAAAAAAAAATAAGCGAGAAAATATAAATTCTCTCGGAAAAAAAAAAAGCAGTAAAATGAATTCTCTTATATGCCTTATATTTTTTTTCCCCCAGAATAAGTCTTTGGCTTCTAATTGGTTCTAATTTAGAAAGGGAACGTAGAGGGGGAAGGGTTTCAATCTCTGTAAGACCGAATCGATCTCTCTTGTGTATCTGAAATCAGAGTTATCCATCTCTTCTTCATGGTGTTCTTCCTGTAAGGAGTCCTTGAAAGCAACGATTGAGAGTGTATTTCACTGACTGGTAAGTCGGTCATCTTCATCTTCATCTTTGGTTTTGGTTTTTTTTCCCCCTCATATTTGTGTAGATTCATAGATTGCTTCTTCCTCTCCCTACCTTATTTTATATGAAAATTATTTGATTTTGATTTTTTCAGATATTCCCCAAATTTATAATAAGGGATTTCGAATATGAGTTCCATTGTTTCGAATCTAATTCAAAACCATGAAGCAGATAAAAAAAAAATCGACTTGAAAGTTCTCTCTCTCTCTCTCTCTCTCTCTCTCTCTCTCTCTCTCATTTCACAAAGAAACAGTGTAAGTAGTATTTTCTTCGTATTCTTTGCGAAGCTCTAAATTGCGAGACCACAAAATCGAACGAAGACAGGTCTCCATTGGCTGTCGAATCTGCAAGGCAAAACCCTAGATCTGAGTTGATCCGTTTTCAATCGGCCTCAGCATTCTGAATATTGGATCCATTGGATCGGAGACCATGCCAGTGGCTGCTTACGCCATATACTTTTTGAATCTCCACGGGGATGTCCTCATCAATCGTCTCTACTGCGACGATGTTGGGTCAGCTCCTCTCTCTCTCTCTCTATATATATATATATATTTATATGTATATTTATTCAATTATAGGTTTATATGCTTGAAATGTATGAATTACATATGACGAATAACTTGCATTGAGTATATATTTGACTTCCTTGATGCGGATTGACATACATATTTATTAATAGAGATCCTTAGCATCGCCATCATTTAAGAAAAAAGTGTGGATTTGTAATGGGTAGCAGCTTTTGTTCTATCATCTATGTATGTTTAGCTGTGACTATTTCGGGAAGAAGGACATGTGGTTTCTTAAACCCTAGATTGTTGTGTTGTTGCTCCAAAGAAACTTAAAAGAGAGAGATAATCAATTATGTATATATATATATATATATTTTTTAATCAATTATGTATATATTGATGTATTATTGATTGATATCTTATTATGTTTACAATGATTCCTATATATAGAAGAGAAGAATAGGTAGTAGGTGGAGTAGGTGAAGTGGAGTAGGTGAAGTGGGTGGAGTAGGTGTAGTGGAGTAGGTGAAGTGGGTGAAGTAGATGATAGGTTTTAACAGCCCTCCGCAAACTCAAGGGGGATAGGAACTAACCAACTTGAGTTTGGAGAGAGTAACAAAACAAGAAAATACATAAAAATAAAAGAGGATAGGAGACACTTTATGGTCATGTCAGACCGTTGGTAAAAACACTGGATGGTGGTGTCATAACGTTGTAGAGGACACTTTATGGTGGTGTCATAACGTTGTAGAGGACACTGTATGGTTGTGGCAGACCGTTGGAGCAGATAAAGTCTAGACAGTTGACGAGGTCACACCGGACCGATGGAGAAGCTAACCGGAATCAATGTCGGGACAGTTTAATGGGGTCATGCCGGACCGTTGGAAAAGCTAACCGGAATCAATGTCGGGACAGTTTACAGAGTCTTGTCGGACCCCTAAAAAGTCGCACCCTCAAAAGGTGTGCCCAATCTTTCAAAAGGCGTGCCATCAAAAGGCGTGCCCAATCCATAAAAAGGCGTGCCATCAAAAGGCGAGCCTAAGTCATAAAAAGGTGTGCCGGACATGATGGCGAGGCGCGTCACCACATTGGCTTGCGCGCCCGTGTTGTCGTCTGGCGTCAAGTGGCGCGCGATGCGCATGTCTGCCTTGGCTATTTAACCAAGACGGAGGCTGAGGCTGAGGCAGAGGAGAAGACAAAAAACTTGTGAAAAAACCTCTGAAAAACTCTGTGTTGTCTGAGAGAGAAACTCTGTAACACTCTGTTGCCCAGAAAATGGCCTCGTCTTCCCGTGGTCTGCTCACTCTCTTTCCCGACCTCAACGAGTCAACAAGAGAGATAACTGGTGCGGGGGCCAGTGAACCGCAACCAAACACCTCTGGTTTTGCTCCGTTGAACTTTCCGATGCGGTCTGTGGAGCAAAAAATGGCAGTGCAAACGGATATTGAGGCCAATCAGTATACATTGAAGTCATGTGTGGAGACCATGACGGCGGTCACAAACTTGTCGCACCGGCTTCAGAGTAGGACAAATGAGGTGCAGCAGTTAAACGCCCAACTGGCTCTGCTCCAACGCATGTATAAGGATGCGCGAGCAGAGATAAGTGTGCTAAAGGCGGAAAATAAGGAGCTGAAGCGGAAGGCGACCGTTATGTTCCGATTTGGAGGTCCACCATATGCTGCAGTGGAGGAGCAGGGGGGAGTGAATGTGCTCGGTGGACGAGGAAGCACTGAGGCAACACCATCAAGGGCCGCTCAGGACGGAAGCAAAAAGAAGAGACCGGCGGCAGAGTAGAGAAGGGAAAAGAAAAAAGCCCTCTTTTTTTTGGTTGTTTTGGGTTGTGGTGTAAAATAGTGATCGGGGTTAATCCCAACAGAAATAAAACAAAGATTGTGAGATGTGGAATGTGTTTGGTGTTGTTTTTGTTTTGTTGTGTTTAATAATAATAATAAGAATAAAAAATAGATAAAGAAAAGAGAGAATATTTTTGAGTGGAGGATGTTAGGGGCGATGGTGTAATGTTCAAAAAGAAAAGATAAAAAATAAAATAATAGTTTGAAAAACCAGTGATGGTGTGTGAATCTGTGAGTGGGGTGCAAAAGGTGAAGTAAAGGGTTGGAAAGTGGACAAAGTGGTGGATGTCCTTGAGTAGAGAGAGGGAGTGGGTTGATTAAAAAAAAAGGATTGTGGGTTTGAAAGTGGAAATATGAGATGAATCTGCATTTGCTGGAACACTTCGAGCCATGGCAGGTCCAAAAACCTTGTACAAGCCTTTCACTCCCTCCGAGGCCACAATCTTTCTAAAAGCATCAATCGAGCCAGAAAACTTGGGATTTTTGTAATCATCAACTTGAATTACGCTCTTGACAACATCGGTTGGGTAGACAGAAACCCAGAAGGAAGCTCCAGCCAAGCCTCCTGCTATAATCAAAGAACCTCTTCCCAACTTGGATGTGTCTTGCCCTCCTGCAAGGTACTGCTTCAGGGCTTCGTAGACGCCAAACATTGCAGCATTTCCAGGAACCTCTCGTGCCATAGTGGGAATTAAGCCCTTGAAGAGACCTCTCATACTGCCTTCTGATCGGAGAACATGCCTTGCCACGTCCATTGGTCCTGCATACTTCACTGCCACGGCAGCTGAACCAGAATCTGCTAGAGCACTCTGTGCTTGCAACCTGCACTTGATCAATTCAGTGGGGCAAGCCAAAAAGCAGACGGCAACTCCAGCCCCAGCCCCAGCAATTATCTGCTGATTGACGGTAAGAGGCACACCAGGTTCAGATCTCAATAAAGATTCCATTTGTCCTCTAACTGTAAATAGGAGAGCATTAAAGGCTGCCACAGTGGCAAGAGGTGCCCCCATACCTTTGTACAGACCACTTGGGCCTTCTGATGCTATCGTTTTTCTGACAGCATCCATAGCACCCGAGTATTTCAGAGGTTGACCTGGGAGTGGTGTGGGTTGGCTTTGGAGTTTGACCTTGATCGTATCAAAAGGGTGTCCAACAATCAACTGCGCTGCCCCACCAACAGTCCCAGCAACTAGGTCCTTGGATACGTCACCCATCGTAGCCGATTTTTCTTGACGCGGGTTGAAATTGCAAGGAAAAGAACAAGATCGAACTGAACTCCCTCTCTCTCTCTACCATGCAATCAGGTATTGAATCAGTGTGTCATTGTGATGGAAACCCAGAATAGAAAAGAGAGGACTTGGATGCAAATGAGGTTTGTAGAAGTGAAATGTAAGGACAACAAACACAAATATACATAAAAGATTGATGAGAGAGAAGTCGGATGCGACAAACTACAGTGGTGGTTGGTCGAGACTGAATTTTACTTAGATATATAACAGAGAGAGAGAGAGAGACGTGGGTGGGTGAGATGCGAACCAGAGAGCTAATCTCAACCTTTCTCTTCCCTCCAATTCGCTGGAGAGAGACAGAGCAATCAACAACTAAATGGTCTCAGATCATTGACCAAATGGAGGATCAAGTGGCTGCAATTCTCCAAGAAGAGAGGGAAGAGATGGAGTGAAGGCATGTGTAGAGGTCCGGCGGGCGGCCAAGGCGAGGCTGCCGCCCGCCGGTGAAGCAGAATTACTAGCTTCTTAACCTTGCTCTGATACCATGTAAGATAAATTGATAGAGAGAGAATAAATTGTATGTATTACGATTGATGTATCTTATATATTACAAATGGTGAGGGGCTCCTTATATAGGAGATGTAGTGGAGTAGGTGGTAGTAGGTGGAGTAGGTGGAGTAGATGATGGTAGGTTTTAACAGAAATAAGTACAGTTTTGTTGCTTTAGCCATGAACTCAAATTCATATCAAGTGAGGGAAAACCAAAAACTTTCACTAAATTGAGGGAGGCTTGAGTGTTTCATCAAATTGAGAAGGTGATCATTATTGTTGCAAGTAGCCGTTGGGGCATCACACTACACCAGACTATCGGCCGGTTGTTCTCCCAAACAACCTTGTGCTTGCAAAAAATAGAGAGAAATTTACACAGGCCAATCAATCTCCCAGACATCCTCCCGATTGACCGATTGTTTGATGAAAATTAAAAATTTAGCCTTGGTTTGGTTTTCATTTTTGGCTATATAATCACAAAAAGACAAAAAAAAAAAAAAAAAAAAAAAAAAAAAACAAAAAAAAAAAAAAAAAAAAAAAAAAAAAAAAAAAACAAAAAAAACCCCCAAAAAAAAAAAAAAAAAATCGACAAGTGCTTGAGCAACATCTTCCGTGCACAGTCATGCCTCAAACTTTAAGAAGAACTTGTGCATATTTTAATTCCTGCTTGAAAGTTTTAAGCATGAACTGATCTAGATACCATGTAACAAGACTCAAAAAGAAGTAAATGGAGGCAGTAAGAAGATCTTTATTGTAGATGATACAGGGAATGCTCTAATCCAAAACATAACTTGCAAGACCAAACAAGGTTCCAATGATTATATGACATGTTATTAACTTTTTATTCACAATCAAATGCAATTTTATTTCCATTTTTCATTATGCTGATGCCATTAAAACATCAATTGCCTAATTAATAATATAGTTGTTGCACGTACTTTAAAACTTACCCTGCAAATCCAAATCAACACTGCACCTCCGATCAACACCACCACCAGCGACGGAGTTCTTTGTGAAGTCAACGGTTCACGATCTGATTTAGATTGATGGTTCACAATCGGAGATTAAGAGAGATGGAGGATCGGTGGTTCAGATTTGCAGACCGGTGTGGATTGACGGCAAATTTGGAGAGAGAAAGTAGAGAGAGGTCAGTGTGGATGAAATAAGAGAGTGATCGGCGACAGATTTGTGGTAGTATGTAGCTCTCAGACAGCGCGCTGGCTCAATAATCAAAGACAATGACGTTGATAGCGGCGATGATAGAGATAGAGTGACGGCGGCGAGTGACGCTAAAATCAGTAAAAGTCGGCAATAAAGGCCTACAGAGGCGAACTTGAGCGTGAGTAAGGAAATCAACAGCAATGCGGAAGAGCCCGCAGCTGTGGAAGAGGTGAAGTGAGGAGATCGGGGAGAGAGAGAGAGAGAGAGAGTGTGTGTGTGTGTGTGTGTGTGTGTGTGTGTG